CCACCTCAACAGAAATATTGTCCACCACCACAGCCGTGCTATCCACCTCAACAGAAATATTGTCCACCACCACAGCCGTCCTATCCACTTCAACAGAAATATTGTGCGCCGGTCCAGCCCTCCTGTCCACCACCCCAGCCGTGCTATTCACCTCAACAAAAGTATTGTGCGCCGGTCCAGTCTTACTGTCCGACCCCCCAGCCGTGCTATCCCCCTCAACAGCAATGTTGTCTACCAGTCCAGTCACCCCAGCCTGAGATCTGTCAGATCAAACAAGCTTGCAAAGCCCCTCTCCATCTTCTGAAGAAGTAGCTGCCGAGTTGCGACGAGTATGAAGATGACACTCTAGCTCGCAATGTTGTCTTGTTATTTATTGGCTAGGTGATAATGCTTGCAATGACCTATCCTGGACCTTTTGACTGTTTGCCAAATTTGTGTGTAAAAGAAAATATGTATGCAACACAATAAAACTTATTAAAGCATTCGTCACTCCATTCCTCTTTTTTTCTTTTTTCCCTTCCTCCTCCTCCTCCTCCTCTTTTCTTCTCCTCCTCTTCTCCTTCTTCTTTTCTTCTTCTTCTCTCCTTCTCCTCCTCTTCTCCTCCTCTTCTCCTCTCCTCCTCCATTTATTCTTCTTCTTTTCTTCCTCTTCTTCTCTTCTTGTCCTCTTCTCCCCTTCCTACTCCTACTCTTCTTCTTCTCTCCTCCTCCGTTTATTCTTCTTCTTTTCTTCTTCTTCCTCCTCCTCCTCTTCTCCTCCTCTTCTCCTTCTTCTCCTCTTCCTCCCTTCATCTTCTTCTTCTCTCCTTCTCCATTTAATCTTCTTCTTTTCTTCTTCTTCTTCTCTTCTTCTCCTCCTTCTCCTCCTCCTCTTCTTCTTCTCTCCTCCTCCATTTATTCTTCTTTTCTTCTTCTCTCCTCCTTTTCCTCTTCTCTTCTTCTCCTCTTCCTCCTCCTCCTCCTCTTCTTCTCTTCGCATCCATTTATTCTTCTTCTTTTCTTCTTTTTCCCTCCTCCTCCTCCTGTTCTTTTTTCTTCTTCCTCCTCTTCCTCTCCCCCTTCTTCTTCTCCTCCTCCTCCTCCTCCTCCTCCTCCTCCTCCTCCTCCTTTTCAAAAGACATCTATTTTTCCTGACTTAACAATGGTCTAGAGTTTTCTAGGACTGTCCTCACAGATAGAAGGTAGAACAAAGGCAACTGTGTACTTGATAACCCAGATAAATTTGCAGGGTGAGCAAGAAAGAAACAAGGCAGGACAAGTGACGAAACAAGTCTTGTGCCGTTGTGCTATCATTCCTTTTTCATGTGTGCCGTGGCATGCATGTCTATATGAAGTAAGAAGAGGTTCGTTCTGTATGAGTCAGTCAAATTTAAATGTTCTTCTCCTTTAATTATACTGTTTAGCTTCCTCTGGCTCCCTCTAGTGTCCAACCTCAAAAGCCTCATCCTATCATGTTTTTTTTTCCCCTCCTATTCAAAACAAGAACATTTTCCCATAGGGAAGGATTCTTACACTCAATTTCAAAATCTTATTTCAAAGCCATCTGGATCCTTAATCTATCTGTAACTTTCCAAAACCTACAGTCTTTTGTTTTTATTTATTTTTTTTTAATTAAATCTTGAACTATTTCAAACTTCTTTCATTAAGGGAAGTCTTCCATTAAGAAAGATGTCGAGGAGCAGGTGGAGAGTGTGGGTCTCAGGTATCCCAGTCATTTTGATTAGTTTTGGCTTGCCCCAATTGATTGGAGTTGGCTTGCCCCAATTAAATCATGAGCCTCAAGCCAAGCTTCAAAAGAAACCCAGTTGTTTATTAGGAATGTCATTTCGACGCAGACCAAGTGAAGCCAGTTCTGACCTCACTTCATTCGCGCCTTCGCTCTGACCCTGTTTCCCCCTCCCCTCAAGGTGTGTCATCAGTCACATTCCCCAATGAAGCAATTTCACCAGTTGTAGAAGTCCCTCCCTCCGGCCGCTGAGGGTCCCCCTGGCGATGACTTTGACGTGGCCGGCTGGAATGTGCTTTGTTCTGAGTGAAAAGCAAGTTCCTTGAATGCCGCTGCAAGGCTTGATTCCACCTCCCCCCCTGCCTATGGCAACTCAAGAGCAGGTCAGGAATGCTTTGCGAGTTGACAGGATGAAGGAAACTCCCTCCTTCACTCCGAAGGTTATTACTAGTTTCTCTTTAGCTGTAAATCAGTGACATTCAAAGCTGATGAAGAATTGGATTGGATTTATTACATTTATATGCCGCCCTTTTCCCCAAAGGGGATTCAGGGTGGCTCACAATTCAATCAGGGAAGGGGGTACAGACAGGGGAATAAAAAGACGAGACATAATAATACAAAATTTAAAAACACACAACAACCATATCATTCGAGAAGGGGGGCAAAAACTCTTTAGCCCCAGGCCTGTCAGAACAGCCAGGTTTTTAAGGGCTTTGCGGAAGGCCTG